GGGGGGGGGGCCGTATGCCGCTGGGCGATAAGCGTCGGTATCGACGTCGCTCGCTTAATTATATACCAACTCGACGAAAATTGAACGGCAACTTTTTTGTTTTTCTTTTGTAAATATTTAACGAGCTAAACGCGTTACCGGTCGCCAATACAACAGCCGATACCTATCATTCGATACTGGTTTACATACGGAACGAAAAGGTATCCAGTGGGTACCGAGATTATCGGCGAATGTTTACGCACTGTCCCAGCCTGATAAGCACCGATATCACGTTACGCGGTAATTATAATTGAACTCTTACTAATAGATAGCCCGGGTATACGACGCTATAATTGCGCGCGGCACTAACGAACTCGAATGGAGCGTTCAATTAAATGCTACTTAGCAGGCCAATCTCCGCGCCGACGTTCACCCTACCCCCCTCCTACTCGCCCTCGCTATACTACCTCTCTATCACCCTTGTGCACCCCTCTGCCACCCCGTTCCACCATCCACCACGCTAATCACCGCCAACCACCCCCCCCCATATTTCTCCCTCCCTCTGTCCTTCTCGAATACTCCGTGGAGATGAAATTGTTCCCGGCGACGTGTTACCCTCGATCCTAGTCGAAATTGTGGTTAACGCGTCTACTGCTAACCAACCAGCAACCAACCAACCCCTAACCACTCCCTGTTAAACTTTTGATACTTGACCTTATAGTGATTGCGCTTATACTTTCATGCTCTCTCGGTTAGCTTAGCGACAGTGCTACTCGGTTCAGTTTACACGTGAGACGAACGCTTTGTCGTGAAATTAAAATTAGTCCGATGCTTTGAGAATGTTGAAGGCATCGAAGTTCCGGCTTGTTTCACCTGGCTCGCCCTTGCGCGGTGAGAAGTTGGCAAGTTATGGTTAAAAAATAATAATAATCGCAATCTGGTCTAATTGGCTGCATGCCGAGATAGCGCATGCCAGGCGGCAAATGTTTAACAGGCATTTTTGAACTACGGCGCCACCAATCAGGATCACGGAAAAGTGATAGTAGCTTTGGGAGATTTTTTTTATATGGAGCGAATTCACTCCGATCTGGTTTCAGGTTAAAGGGAATGAGATTTACTGTATATTTTTTTTTTATAAGCTTATCAGCTCGTTTTCATCTCTGCTGCGAAATTCAGGGTGCTGAAGGAACGAGCTAATTTTGTACTTGTGTATCTACCATTCGATAAGTCCTACGATCAAACGGCAGTTCGGTTTTGTCGCAAAAGTCACCTTTCGCTTTTGACATTTTTTTTTACTCGTTACCTGAGAGATTATCTAATAATTGAAATAGCATACTTACCTGGCGCAAAGGTTACCGTGATCACGAAGGCGGTTCCTTCAGGGCGAGGCTCTTCCATTGCACATGATATCGTGCGGGATTTTAGGTTAATAATTGGTCTGTCGTGTTTTCGTGATTTTACCGTAATTTTTTATTTCTCCAGTTACACCCTGTACGAATAACGTTCGCAAGAGCCGATACTCGTAAGACGTAAATGCTCCCTTGGGCTTCCATACGATATCAAGTGTACTTTCGTATCGCAGCCTTTTGACCGTAAGCGACGTCAGACGTCGCCAGAATCGTTGACTGGCGGCTGTAATTGGTTTAGACCGCAGGATCGTTTTCATGGGATCCTGCGAGAGCTTTGAGACTGTATCGAGACTGTAAATACAGCACGTAGGTTTTTAAAGGAAATTTTACGTACTATGACCGGGAAGCAGCACTAACGGCTGATACACGTGAAAAAAAAAGGAGCTGATACAAACGATAAGTTGACTGCGTTACAAGCGAAGAGTCGATCGCGCGTGCAGAACTCGAATAACGGTACGAGATGGTGGGATGGGCAGAGGGGAGGATAATGGCACGAGGGAAATATAGATCCGCCAACAGGTGTAACAAAAAAATATAATAATAATTGGTCACGGCAAACGACACTTACGGCGATTCCTATCTCGCACAAAGTAGCGCAAAGCTGACGGAGCATATGGCGGTCGTTAGCTACCGTAACGCACGTTCATATCGACGTGAAACTCCGGGGTTCTCGGTACCGGGAAAACTTTTGAAAATTTCTGAGTACACAGGTTACGTGCGAATCGTAGATAAAACAGACTATTGAAAATCGAAGTTTGAGGGGATAATTTTACGTGGATGCCCCAGACGCTTTTTCCAGCCAAAATCAACGATGAGCACAAGAGACACGCGTGACGTAACGAAAGTAAAAATAAATTACAAAATCTTTAACGTGACTGTACTGGACATATACTGCTGACGGGGATGACGTATACGTTGTTATAAAAATGGCGGGAAAATTGAAACTCGAAAGTTAAGGACTTTCTTGGAGAGAATAAAAAAAAGGAACTCGAGGAATTCAAAAACCGAGACACCGGAGACATTGGTTCACGCCAGTTTGATTTCCTGCGGAGGTGAGGTGAGGAATTCTTTAGCCAACGTCCCTTGGAACTGCCCCCTCCCCCAATCCTTCTCCCTGAACTCTGCGAACCCTGTGAGAGGACCATGGCAGACAGAAGTCCTGGGACCACAAAGAATGTCTTGTTCCTGGCAATCGCGCGAGTTCCGAGTATCCTGTACCTAGGAAGCGGCATCCGAGTTATTCCAATATTCAAGGATATATATATATATATATATATATACGCGT